GAAAGGATCCTCATCTGTTGTGATAATCATCAAATACATTCAATCTCGTTTTTTTTTTGCACTTCTCCATGATTGACTGTAGCGACTCTCATTTTTCTGGCCCTTCTCTGTGATCGATGAAAACAACAGTTCTCCTATGTGATCCACAACATTCATCTCATTAAAGAACAATGGTGGACAATTAGATAGATAACAATGAAGATACACAAGTAAGTTGTCAAGAATTTTGATTTCATGTGTTATGAAGTTTGTGTTTTTTATTGTGTTTCAAGATTAATGTTAACATTCAAATATTATGTTATGTAATGGAATCAACTATTGTGATATTTGTGTTTCAATCGCAGCCTTGTCCAATCTTGAGGTTGTGCACAAAAGTTACAGTTTGACCTTTTTGGTCAAACAGTTTGATTCCAACAACATTATCGTTTTCTAAGTAATCACATGGATCCAACTACTTGCCTCCAATTCTTAATTACTTTTTCTTTAATTTTTTAATATTCTCAGTTGAAGTTCTACACTCAATTAATTAAAAAATCAATATAGTTTTGAGTTTTGCACACACACACACACACACACACACACACACACACATATATATATATATATATATATATATATATGATCAATGTGATTAGAACTTGTGGACTGTGACTATGCATACAGAAAGTTAATAAGCAATCTTGGTATTCTAGTTTGTGATTCCATTCTTGTCTCTGATTCCATTCTTATTACGAAACATGTTATCAATCACAGAATCCCCGGAAAGGTTGGCTTACACAAACAATACTGATTATGGCCTAGGAGTATTTTCTAGAAAAGCTGCCATATTTTAGTTTTGGATGTTTAGGCTTTTGTTTTGCAGTAGAGGTTAAGCTAAAAACATGTAAATCATCAAAGGGACTTAAAAACATGTGAATGAATCTGTAGAAATTGCAAATAAGAGTAGGGGTATTTTTGGAAGTTTTCTTATTTACTAGTTTTTATTCCACTTTTTGTGTGTTTTACTATTGTTTTGTGTTTATTCTATTGTATCAAGTAAGGTTACAACTTACAACTGTTTTGAAATACTAGTGGCTGTCAGCTTAACTGTTGTCCCTTGTTTCTGTTGTATTCGTATCTTTTATTGTATTTTGAATATCATATATAGCATCAAATTTGTTATATTAAATAACTTACTATACGATACTATACTAAAATAAATACATAAAAGTTTATTTGTATTATTTCTAATAGTTGTGCATTATATTATATCATTTTTGAATTTAATATTGTTTAAAACATTGTGTTTGGTTGTTTTAATGGTAAATTAGGAATTGTGTTTTGAAGTGTTAGTAGTATTATTTAACAGTGGCATATTTTAGTAAGATTTAGAAAATAAATGGCACAATAAGGAGATGTGAGTAATTTTTTGTTACCAAGAATTTGGAGGTTGATGAGTTGTAGTGAAAAACAGATTTGATAAAAAAAAATCATAGGAAAGATGCCATTTTACATACGTATACGTATCATGCAGTAAAACACATGAAATACAACTATAACGACTCATTATGGAAACCATCACCAAATGAACACTTTGAACAAAAAATTTGCCAAATTTAAAGGTTTCTGGTTCCAAAATTCTAGACTTTCGGTTCCAATCTTGGGTTTCCGGTTCCAATGTTTAATTTTTGGTTCCAACTGGTTCCATAGCCACTTTACCTGGCCCGATACCCGGAACCGGACCGGAACCGATTTCCGTATACCGGTCCGGTTATCGGGTCTTATAATCCGTCAATTCCAGGTTCCAGGTTTTCCAGGTTCGGGTCCAATGATCCGGGTTTGGACCCACTTTCATCCCTACACACGAGGCTCGATGTCAGTTGGGGCCGGATGGTTGTCGGGCAAGGCTTATTGTATATATGGTATGGGGTATTTCGAGGAACTCACTAAGCTTTGTGCTTACGGTTTTCAGTTTATGTTTCAGGTACTTCTGGATCCAAGGGGAAGAGGTTGAGATGATTGCATTGCACACACCATGATTTTCCGCTTTATTGACTCTGATGTATTTTAGGTGATTATCGTTACACTATGATTTCCTTATGGTTTTGATCAATGTTTTAAAACCCGGGTTGACCCGGTCGGTTCAACCGGTTGGACCGTGACCCGGGGTAAAAGGCGGGTCAATTGAGAACGGTTTTTCTTCTTCTTCTTCAAACCACCAAGAACACTAAAACAAGCCAAGTGTCATCAAAAGAGGCTAGGATTAGGGTTTCATAGGTCTTAAGAGTGGTGGAGGATGAGGGTGAGCAACCCTAGCCTATACTTTCCTTTAAATACCTGAAAATTAAGATTTTTTTTATCAGATGGTCGTCACGTCGTGGCTAACACATGCCACGCCGTGGGGACTAGATTAAGGTCCGTGAACATTCTAGTTATATCATGTCGTGGTGATGCCTCCACCACGTCATGTTAACCCAAAACTTAGAAATTAAATTAAGTAAAATACATCAACGAATCCGGATGTTACACAACTGGTGGCAGATACTCCCTCTTATTATTCTTCTCAAAATTCCTCTTGTAAATCCATCTATTTACACTCTTCAAAACCATTTCTGAATCAAGATTAATCCCAGAAAGGTGACCACCACCACGCACATCTGTGAATGAAACGAGGACCACCCAATGACCTGCCAAGTGGGTTTATAAACCTTAACAATTGAAACCTAAAGCAATCATCTCTGCAACTTGGTTCGCTTATTATGAAGATTTTCTTTAGTTCTCGTGTTAATTTACAAATCTTGAAAATCCAATTTAGTTTGCTCTTGATGGCCTTGAAATTTTATATGAATGATTTAATTTTTCATGATCTGATCGATTTTAAAAGAAACACAAAGCAATTTGACTCTTATTTCTTTTTATTCCATTTAAAAGAGATCAGAGACAATTTTTTGGAGGTTTATGTGTTTGTGTGGAGAGAGAGAGGTTGGTATTTTTTTAATTTCTGTAATAATAAAAAAAATATATCAAGATTTAAATTGTCATTATAGAAAAGTTAAAACCAAATTAGACCCAAATTGCAACAACATAAATGTTTAAACCTCTGGTGATAGTCTAAATATTTTTGAAGCAAACTTGTGAGTTGTGATATAACATAAGGACCAGTTATACAATTTTAGCATAAATGTAATCATAGTCACATATGCAAGTGTTATAAAAAAAAACTGAAAAATTGGTCATAGTTATTCAAAAACAACTATGACCCAAAAAAATTCTAACTTGAATGGATACTTTAAAATTAGAAACTTTTCGTAGATTTAGTATGTGATAAGTTGAAAGCACATTATTTTGCCCTTATTATTTTTTTTTTTTTATATATTTCTATATTTATTTTCGTATTTCATTCATTATAAAAAAAAAAATCTCACCCACCCCACCACTAACCCCTCTCTCTGTAATAAAAATACATATACGTACTAAAAATTTATAAAAATACACATAATTGACCAGTAACTCAAAAGCATATATATCATACACACATACTTTATGAATTTAAAAAACGTATACACGCATGCCAAGAAACTCAAATAAATCTTTCCAGAATCAATGTTAAGCTATCAATTTTCTCCAAAATAAAAGTTTCCAAATGTCTTCAAGTGGCTATCGTTGCCATTTGAATTCATCTTAGAACCTGATAAAGTTTTCTACCTGGGTCTTGCTTATAAAGGGTGGAATCATTTTTATTGGGGATTTAAGAAAAGAAACCTTTAAAACCTATGTGAAAGAGTTAACTGAATGCAAGTCGATTGAAGGGAAAGGGGTTGGTGACTCAAATTCGCCGAAGATAGGTCTTGTATCGCCGGAGATGGAGAAATCAACATTATCGATCTGGATTTATTTGAGATTAGTTCATGGATGAGATAATGGGGTGGTGGGTTGTTGAAAAGAAGGGGTTTCATTGGAGGTGTGAAACGATGAATGGATGTCCACAATGAGGTTGGAACTTTTGACTGGGAAATATATGACGGTTGTTGAGCATGGTGGGACTGGTTACGTGGGGCGGTGGATTTGCCAGGATAGGTGTAGTCGGTGGTCTGAGAGGAGTGGACGACGGAAGTGTTTGATTTGGAGTTAGTAAGGTACAAGGATATTGAAGAAGAAATTGCGGGTTTGTTGGAGGTATGTGTGCAGGTATGTATGAGAGAGACAGAGTGTGCATGTGATTTTCTATTTTCCAAATAATAAAATATTAAAAATATTAAAAAAAAAAACTATAGATAAAATAAAATAAAATGGCAAAGTCATCCTTTGAGGTTCTCCAAGACCAAAACGACATAAATTTATTTATTTTAGGATCAAAACCATGGAGAATTCTTGATCTTGGATATTCGATGTAAGTCGGGAACTTTTAGACCCTAACAATAGTTTTTACCAAAATCACAATGATTAATTTTACAATTTTATCGATTATTATAGATGATATATGATTGTTATATTCTAATTACAGATAATTAGACACACAAATGCAAAAAAGTTTTTGTAATCAAAAGAAAAAAAAAAGACTTTGAGAGAAAAAGGATGTGAAATATGACCATTGTAAAGGAAAGTAATTCGTAAGCAAATAGAAAATGATTGGTATATAATATTTTTTTCTCCGCATACAACAATTCATATTTATTAGATTGTACCATGTATGAATGTAATATTTTAAAATTGTTAGTGCATTAAAAATAAATAAATAATAAAATAAAATTGAGGTGGCGAGTCTCCTAATAAGAACACACAAAGAAGAAACTAAGACTTGAAACAATTTTATGCTTTAATTCCTTCAAGAACTTACAATATAAAGACTCATGCAATGCAGTAAAAGACGTGGAGAAGCACTAGCTTCTCTTATTGACTATTGACTAGGTGAAGACAGGTCTAATTCCTCCTGATAATATGCAAAGTGGAAACATGATTGAATTAACAAAATGGAACTACTCTTTGAGACTTTGACTAAATAAAAGAAACATGGTGGTGGTCTTGAATACATTCTTAGACACGTATCATCGGCTCTCGTCTCTGGTCTCTCCCCCTCTTCGCATTAGACAACAGACTTAATTCAGTGCACCACTCACCTGCAACAGCAAGTCAGCAACTCCTACCTGATCGCCGATCGCCATCAAGAAATCAAGTTCGACTGAAACCAGCAAGTCAGCAACCTCCGGCGTCAAGAACTCAAGTCAGTAGCCAAGGTCGACAATTATCGACTGCAGTCTGCATTCTGCAACCATCGAAGCTGCTAAGCGAATCTCAGCCTGCTTCCATTTTTTTGTTTCATGCAGAAATCCCAAGGTTTTAAGGTACCCTTTTGGATTCCACCTCTTGTTCTGATCTTCAAGTTTAGCTTCTGTTTAGCTTTCAACTTCTGATTTCAAGGATCGCTTTCAGCTTTCAGTTTATAGTTCTAATTTCTGGTTTATCTTTTGTTTTTATGATTTCTAATATATAAGTTTAGCTTCTGTTTAGCTTTTGAGCTGCAAAAAGTTAGACAAAAAACATGTTTTTGAGAAAAAAAACAGTAATTTCATGTTTGGTTCGATTATAGTCTTATTTCTTGGTATAAACGAGTAAAGCTAGCTTTTCCTTCATTATTAAATTGATTTTTTGTGAACGTTGACTGGACTTTTTTTTTTTCACACCTATGGTCCTGAAAAAGATATATATATATATATATATATATATATATATATATATATATATATATATATATATATATATATATATATATATATATATATATATATATATATTTTATTTTCACCGAACATATTTTATTTGTATTTCACTATGTCTTGGTATCAGAAATCCAGTTAATGAATCCAGAAAACGAATTCTCAAATGGAATCAAGGGTTTTTTCACTTATTTTATCTGAATCAACATCAGGAGCCAAATTTTCACCATCTTCAGTAAGCGGGCTATGAATATGAAGACCAGCAGCACAAAGAACTATGAGAAACCAATGGTCCAAATTGAATTCTCTCAGACATGTGTGGGTGTCTTCATCTTCAACAGCAAGATCACACCCCATGCACTTCACTCGTCAATGCTTATCTTTCTCGGTGTCATTTAATTTTCTCAAACACCTTCTTAGCAATCTCAATTAGCATAAGATTATGAAACTCATCAGAATAAGACGTTATTATGGTTCCAATCTCCAAACCTTTTCCATTGTTGGGGTGTCGTCATCAGTCATGGTTATGTGATGAAAGAAATATAGACATTGACATTTGCGGTTATTTCTTCTATAGGTACATGAAGGATTTGGAATTGGGTGTTGTTGGAAACTATTAAACCACAGGTAATCATCTGATTCAAGTCGTGTTCTTTATGGTGTGTTGTAGCATCTTAGCTTATGATCATAACCTAATACAACATATGAGGACTGAGAAATTTGAGATTTAAGCTGATAATCGTAAATTCAAAGAATGGAGTTTCAATATGTCAAATTATCATATAGTTTTTGTGTTGGATTATTTTGGATCCTACTAAAACATTGCTCTTTCCTTGTAGTTTCTTCATCAAGATAAGATTGTGTCTTCATACAAGGACATGGTAAGTGCATTTCGTACAATTCTCTATGTTGATCAGATGAAATTCATGAAGGAGAATTTGGTAATTTAAGTTGGTGAAACTTAGATCTTATACAAGATTATGAATCAACCCAATTGCCAACCAGATTCTGATGTCTTAAAGGGGCTGTTTCTTTTTTCCCATTCATTAAGTTATGTCTGTTATTTTTCTAGATTGAATGAGAGATTAAATGACCATTTTTATCCCTGCATTCTAACTTTTATGCACAAAATTAATCAATTTTAAACGTGAGAGTAGTTGAGAAGAAAAAAAATAAGGGTGAATAAGTAAAGCGTTAGTATATTGCATAGTTGCATTCTAACTTTTTTTTTGCACAAAAGTAGTCATTCTGTCCGGATTAAGTAAAAAAGAAACAAACATATATATATATATATATATATATATATATATATATATATATATATATATATATATTATATAACCAGTGTCGTAAAACTTGCCGAGCTGACCGATTACTCCTCTGAGTACTCGCTACTCGACCCTTTACCGAACCGAAGCGAGTTACAGAATCCCGAGTACTTCCCGATTGGCTCCTTACTAAACCGAGCAGTGTTGTAAATTCGGTCAATTCGGTGATTAATATGTATAATATACTTGATGATTTATTATTTAACACTCACACATGTGATTATTACTACATATATATCTTAAAATGTCAGTAATTATTCACAAAGTGAGACCATTATGTGTTTTTCAGTTGTTGTATATTCACGTGTATCTAATTTTATTATATGTTCCAATCAACTTATGATTTGACATATATAATTTCCCTAAAAATATTTCTACATGAATTATTGAATCCGAGTACTTCCCAAGCACTCCCGAGTACTCACTACTTGGTAGTCGGCCGGACAGGTACCGAGTAACGAGTTCTACTACCTTATATATAACTGTCCAGCTTAATTCAAGTATGGATGCAATATGACTCAGTTGTTTGTAATTCAAACTGAAATACAAATCCACCGTATTTAACTTTATTTTGTATTATTTTGCAGGTTTATTTAACATGGCTGACTAATAATGTTAATATAGATAACCTCAAGTACTATTGGAAATCCTCATATATTTATATGAAGTTTGAAAGTCTCTAGTTTTAACGGTTTTAAAACATTCTTTTTAACTTCAATATAATAAATTAATTTGATTATAATTTATAGCGTTACCTATAGCTTATTACCATATCTGAATATGTTTCCCTACCCTATTTTTTTCTCTCCTTTATAGTGATGAACTATAATTAATTCTTCTATGGTTTTTTTGATAGATAATTAGTGAAGAAGTGGGTACGGGCATAATGATGGGAATCGTCGACGAAATGGAAAAATGGATGAGAGAGGTAGGGGTAATGGTGGCTTTTGGGGAAGACGATTGAAGGGGTAAAGGGAGATGAGAATGGAGAGAGTAAGAGTAAATACATTATTGGTCCTTCTTATATGGTGCTTATTATATGAAACAATAAATATCAAAAAATAGAAAATTAATAAAGAAATGGTATCAAAGGGATTTTAGCCCAACGGTATCTAGTATTGTCCTCACCTATTGAGGTTGACGGTTCAAGTCCCGCGGTAAACATAGATGGAATAATTTAGGTGTAGTTTAGTATATTTGTTGTTTAAAAAAAAGGAGTTGTAGATAGGTTATTTCATAAGCATTCAACACAACAGAGTTAGTTAAAAGGACTAATTATGCTTGATTTTGAAACCACAAGGAGCATCGATGTAATACTTTCGAAAGATGTCTTGAAAGTGCCACTTTTGAAACCATAGGGAACATTTTTGAAATTGTCTTTTTTTTAAATAATAATAATAATAAATTATACATGTATCCAAAATAAAACAAGATCCAGTTTAGTAAATTTATATATTTTTTTTAATTGAGTTAAAAACAACAATTAACTATTAGAATCCTATTGAAATATGATAAAAAGAGATAAATGTCGACAATCATGCATTCACTAGGAGTAGGGAGATTATCATAAAGAAGACCTCCGGCATATGTAACTGATATTTATAGAGAAAAAAAAAACAGAACAAAAAACAAAACAAAATAACGTATAGTAAATCCATATTAACCACACCATATAGAATCAAACTTTGAAGCATATTGATATTGATATGAGAAACTAGATAAACATGATAGAATCAAACTTTGGAGCATATTGTGATGAGATGTGAAACATAAGGCAAAATAAAAACGAGTAAGTCTATAGAAGCACTAAAAACAATCAATAGGAAAGTCCAAAAATAATTTATTAACAAATAACAATACATGACACATACAACACATAGAAGGGGGTAATGTTACCCATCAACCTTGATATGTAGCCACTACGTCCTTATTTCTAAGAGATCTAACTCTAACATGTCTATCCTTACACTTTCGATCCAGATTCATCTAGGTTGTCATGTCATCCTTTTCTTACTCTCATCTTGATTTATAGAACAATGTTTAATTTTTTTTTCTGTCGATTTGTGCAAATAAAATATGAATGCATCCGATTTATGCTATATAGCCTATCTCTTATCAATTTATGAACAATAAAAAGACAAAAATACACAAAATATTAAACATTTAAGAAAACCAAAAAATAATGCTTTTTTCATATATAACCATAAATTTAACATAAGAAAACTCGCATAAAGCTAAAATGACGTCGTTTGCAAAAATATCATATACATCACTCCACAATCTTCTTTCCACAATTATGTGTTTTTCGTTAAGTTAATAATTTCTTTTTCTTTTTATTTTTATATAATTAAAACGATGTCTAGAAATATATAACAGAAAGCAGAAAAAAAAGAAAAAATAACAAAAGGTCGATAAACTAATAATATCAAAAATAATTATGGATAAGTTTTTTGTTTCAAACTATAATGACATTCAAATAATTGTAAACTTTTTTCGTACACGATTTTAATAATAAATCTTTTGTTTTAGTAATTCAATAGTCCTTATTTTATTTCTCCAAATGTATTTTGAATTGACTAGTCCTGTATAACATATTTAATTTTCTTTTATTTCTTTCGAATCTCACAACATGAAGATGTAATTTTCATTCATTATCTTTTTTTCCCTTTCATTTTTTCTTTACTAAATGCCATCTTTGTTAAAACTAACTATATCTTTTCTTATAGAAATGTTTAACAAAAACATCTGGAAGTTTTTTAAATATATACAAATACTTAAAATCAAAAACTAAAACTTCAAAAAGCTTTCAAAAACTCACACTTATAAACTCAAATTTTAACGTAGTTTGGAGTTTTTTTATTTAAAACTAAAAAATAAAAGTTTTAAAAAGTTTATCCAAGTTTTTTGTTGTGTATTTCATAATTAGTCTTAAATTTATAAAGGTTTAATCAGAACTAAGGACTGATACATAACTAGATAAATATACCCAATCAAATAACTAGATAAATATACCCAATCAAATAACAGTATAGTTATGATAAGATTGAGTTGTCGAACTCAAGGGATATATATGATTTAATTTAGAATATTTAAATACTAGTTAAACTAAAAGTAGAAAAGTAAAAAGAAAATTCTCTTTAAACTAAATTAAAACCAAACAAACAAAAGTAAAGATTGTATTAAAAACAATATATTTAAAGTACATTTCATTTAGATTCAAACCTCTCTTAATTATTACTAATTTCTTAAAAGTGCAATGAATTTAATTTGTTGTCTACACCTAATCCTAATAACTATAAGGAAAATTAACATAATGATCATGTAATTAACTATCTAAATAAACAATATTTAGTTTTGTATTATGCAAGACTTGATATAGTAATTAATCTTAATGATCATGAAAATTACTTAAAGCACAAAATGGCATTTAACAGAATCTTACACATTAATGTTTATAACTTTATCAACTAACCCTAATATCTAATCAAACATTAGTCGTAACAGTTTAATGATCATAAACTGATTATGATTCAAGAAACATAGTCAAATTGGTCATCTAGACAATATAAACTTAGCAATAGGTAATAAAACTATAAATTGTAACACATAAGGACCAACGAACAAAAAAACATAATCAATTAAACAACAAATAATGTAACACTTGTGTCCCAGACTGATTTAGCTTTATATTTATCAAGAACTAAAGATGAAGTTTTAAAGGAAAATCTGTGCCACGATGTGGTGCAAGGATGCTCACGACGTAGCACTGATTTGAAGGATCGCGTGTTTATTTGGACTGCAACGACATGGACAAGGGTTGCCACGATGTGGCAGTTGTTCTTGCCCAAACCCATGATTATTTTAGGATTTTCTTTGTATTTAAACCCCTCTAAGTCATTCCTATGTTTCATTATACCTCAGAGAAACCCTAGCTCTCATTCCCTTGGTGATTTATGGCCTTTTTGGAGCATTGTTGGCTTGGAGAAGAACAGAAAAAAGAGAAGAAGGTTCCCCATTGGTGGAACTTGTAAGGAACCAACATGATTAGCATATCATATAGCTTCTGGACCTTTATGAGTGTCAAATGCTCAAACTTGGTGGCTTAAAGTGGTTAGATCTAGGATATTGTCCATTGTTTTTCATGTTTGAGAAAGTTTGAAAGGAAGAAACATATAAAATTGGAAAGTTTATGACTCTCCTAAGTCCTATGAGCAACATATGTTGTAGATCTAGACTTTGGTTGGAGTTCTTATCATTGCATGAGTTTTTTGGCATTTTTAGCTTATCATGACCTAAAATGGATTCTAGACATGTTTTGGATATACATGTCTATAAATCTTCCACCTGTATGATAGATTTGGTATTAAAAACCCTTCTGGAGTGGATGGGTTAAGGACTTTTTTTAGAATAAGGGCTTAATGGTTAAGACATTGTGGTATTTGGCCTTATTTGGACCTAGGGTTAGAGAAATTGATCTCTTTGGGTGTCTTAATGGATAAAATTGGAAACATTATCCATTCATACCATAGTATGGACCAGATCTGGGCTTTGAATCTCTTGGAATTGAAGAAAACGGCTTAATCCATTAGTCCGTTGGAAACCTAACGCTCATGGCATGGCTACAGGTCACCACGACGTGGCGACTAGGACTTGCCCGCCTGTTCGATTATTTGAGGGCCACGATGTGGCGATTGACTAAAGTCAATGATTGGCCACTGACTTTGATCGTTGACTTTTGGAATGGGTTGACTTTTGGTTAAATTTCTATTTTTAGAAGGTAGACTTAGGGTTTGCCATGTGTGGATTGTTAGAAGGTGTTTAGCACCCATCTTTTGGCGGTGAGAGCTGGTTGTGGTCGGTGTTGATTTAAGTGGGGTTTTAGACAATGTTGTGATTCAAGTGAGTCTCCTCACTGTACTATGGGTCAAAGGAACCAATGTCGGCCCACTGCATTATGTTATATAAGAAGACCAGGTGGTGGCCCATGACAACTGTATGAAAGACCAAGATATAGCTCCCAACAATTTGTATGAAAGACCAAGGTCTGGACCTTGGCAGTTATATGTAGAATGCTAGTTGTCTTTGTGATACTTGCATGGAAGACTGATATGTGCATATTTAGTGTGTATTAAGTGTAGTATTTATTCATATATTAGCTAAATTGTTGCATATTATGGACAAAAGGTACTTAAAAGTGTTAAATTATGTTTTTCAGTCCAAAGATGAAGCTCGGAAGCGAAAGGAAGCAAGAGAAGCGGTTAGGAGCTCAAGAGTGGAGAAAAGAAAGAAAACACCCATAAAAGGCTTCTACTCGTCGAGTTGCCCCTTGACTCGACGAGTCCGGTCACGGATTCAGAAAGATAAGCATTCGGAAGTCAAGATAGTTATCGGATTACGACTATTGTGAGAGAGACTCGACGAGTCACCATATGACTCGACGAGTCGGAACGCATATATAAAGATAACTCTACAATGCGAGAAGGGAGAATTTTGGGAAGTTTCAGAAGTGCTTAGCTGAGAATAAGAAGCCAGAAGAACCCTAGAAGTCGACCAAGGAAGCTAGAATCCAATCCTGGGAGTAATTAAGGCGTAATTTCACCATTCTACTTAATTCTTTTGTTTTGTCAACATGATTAAGCAACTTGAACTTATTTGTTTGCTGTTATTTACCTTAGTTATGAACTAATTTCTTTAGACTTCTGTTTGGGGATACAAAGTTGACAATATGGTTTGATTGATTGGTAGGATTAATTCCAAGTTGGTGATTAATTGTTATTTTAGCTTGCTAAAGAACCTTGTGTATGAATGATAATTAATTTTCTGTTAATAGGAAGATAATTGATTAGCATGAACATCTATTGATTATCAACCTCATATGATATGTGACCACTATATCATATGTCTAGGATTAATGAATATGAAACTAGGATTAATAAGGAAATTGAGTAAACTCATGTGCAAGCT